CGTGCAGGGAGAAGCGTGGTGGCGACGGCACAGCAAAACTTGAGGAGCTGGGGGGAAAAATTAAACGATAGCCTATAGCATAACCTATAGCAAGACAGCAGGTAAGAGGAGAGCGAAAGTAACAAAGCAGGTGCTTTGCTGGGGCTGTTTCTCCTGTAGTAAAGGGTGCCTGGGGAAGTGACATGAGCGGTGAGGCAAAGGAGGTCCCAGCCTGCCTCCTTTGCCTGGCATTGCCCTGGTATTGACAGCTCTGGGGTGGAGAGGAGGGGTTCTTCCTCCTTACTCCCCATTTGCTTGACCCTTTGTTCCATGCTTATGGAATTGCTAAGAGTGCTTTCACACTGATAAGTCCTTTTTTTTAAAAAAATGACATTGCAAGCACCTCACCGATGTAACTTTAGGAGTCCTTTGTCGTATGATCCAGCCACTGCAGGAAGTGCCTTGAAATGAATCTCATGTAAATGAGAATGGTGGATGTGCTATTCTATGATCTCTCTTAAGCGTGTGATATTGGGATTAACAGATTAAGGTGCTTTTTAGAATGGCATTTATGTGATCGCTTTTCTGGAAGGGGTTGGGGGGGGGGGGGAAAGTGGGTAATCCTGGCCTCCTACAAAAGAGCTTTGGGAATGGTTTATGCCAAGAGACCTATCTTGTACTTTGAGACAAGTGGTCTGTGGTTCCTGGCATTCCAAAATGAAAGAAAAATTAAAATGTAACCACTCAAAGATGATGTTAAAGACTTTTCTATGCACTCAAATGGAGTGCATTTGCATCTATTTTTTCCTCATTGAATTTAAGGATTACAGGGTTGGGGTTTTGCTGCTATTAAGATAAACCAAAATATTTATTTTGGATCATTCTGTATTTAAATAGGGTAAAAGTTGCCCTTTTAGTTACCATTTGCAGGCTTTGAAAGACTGATCCAAATTTTTCCTGTAGCACAATACTGTTTGTCATGGGAACAACGCACAACTTGTCCCCTAGAAGCAAAGACTGTAGCTCCAGAGAGATTTGATTTCAGGGGTGATGTTGAACAGTTCTGAAATATTCTGTGAGTAGATCTCCTCTAGAATGCTAATAGAGATCTGTATGATTTTTAAGACGTTTTACTGCAGGATTCCTTGGTCTGACTTTTCCATCACTTATTTTCTGTACAAATACATAGTTACACGCAGCACAGAACCAAGTTCTACTACTGGAGTGCAATATTTTCTTTACTCATAGAATCTTTGGGTTGGTGGGGACTTTTAAAGACCATCTAGTCCAACCTCTCTGCAATGACCAGGCAAATCTTCAACTTGACCAGGTTGCTCAGAGCCCCGTCCAACCTGACCTGGAATGTTCCCAGGGATGGGGCATCTACCACCTCTCTGGGCAACCTGGTCCACTGTTTCACCACCTTCATTGTGAAAAATGTCTTCCTTATCTCTAGTCTAAATCTACCCCCTTTTAGTTTAAAGCCATTACCCCTTGTCCTATCAATACAGGCCCTACTAAAAAGTCTGTCCCCATCTTTCCCATAGAGGCCCCCTTGAAGTACTGGAAGGCTGCAGTAAGGTCTCGCTGGAGCCGCCTCTTCTCCAGGCTGAACAACCCCAACTCTCTCAGCCTGTCTTCAAAGAGGAGAGGTGTTCCATCCCTCTGATCATTTTTGTGGCCTCCTCTGGACCTGCTCCAACAGGTCCATGTCTTTCCTGTGCTGAGGGCTCCAGAGCTGTACGCAAGACTCCCAGTGGGGTCTCACCTGAGTGGAGTAGAGGGTCAGAATCACTTCCGTTCACCTGCTGGCTATGCTGCTTTGGATGCAGCCCAGGACACTGGTTGGCCTTCTGGGCTACAAGCACCCCTTGCTGGCTCATCTCCAGCTTTTCATCCACCAGGACCCCCATGTCCTTCTCGGCAGGGCTGCTCTCAATCCCTTCATCCCCCAGCCTGTACTGATACCGGGGGTTGCCCCAACCCAGGTGCAGGACCCTGCACTTGGCATTGTTGAACCTCATGAGGTTCACGTGGGCCCATTCCTTGAGCTTGTCCATGTCCCTCTGGATGGCATCCTGTCCCTCAGGCGTGTCAACCGCACCACTCCGCTTGGTGTCATTGATGAAGGTATTAAAGAGTACTGGTCCCAATACAGACCCCTGAGGGACACCACTTGTTGCCAGTCTTTTTAATTAACCTTGCTTTGTCTCAAAGACAATGTTTACCTTTCATACCTTTGCATGTCTCTTTTTTTTGGCTGAACTTACGTGAACTGATGCAGCAGAATCACCATCCCCAGGACTGTGAAACTGTTACTTCAGACTGCAGTCCCTCCTCAGCGAGGACACCGATTTTTGAGAGGGTTACTAAGTAGTGTACTCTCTAGAAAGATGTGGAAGCGAGTAGAATGGCTGGGGCTAGGGGAAAAAAAAAAATATTGGCAGCTCCATGTGATTAAAATACTGATGTGTAAAGGTAATTGAACTCTGCCACTGACTGAAAGCTGAATCCTAGGTAGTATGCTATGATAAAGATACTGACAAATTGCAGGAGTTGAGGGGAACAAATGAGAGGGAGGGATTCATTGTAACACAAGAAATTATTTTAGAAGTAAATGCTGTATTAGGAGGCCATACTGGAGACAGCCAGTGATGGGCTGGCATAGATAGGCATGGTAAAGGTAAGCAGCAATGTGTACAGAAACGTGAGACAAATCCTACCAAAGGAGGAACTGCAGCATGTCCTATCAGAGGGAAAATGGGAAAAGAATTATTGTTTGGTGAATGCTTTGTAGGGCAGGGGGAGGTGCCATGGCAGGATGGACTCAGCGAGGTTAAATGGAGATGGGGGGAGAATGGAGAGATGCTCACCTCCCCTTCCAACCTCTGAGTGGCCTCCTGTGCAGTCTTGACATTTCTTTGGAGGGGGGTGGGTTGTGACTTTTCCACACAAGTGCTGGCAGAATGCTTTACCTTTTGTTAGTCCCTCTTTAGAGGCACGCCTAGGTCTAGCTTTTCTATCGACTCATTCTAATACTTGTTTTTAGAGATGTCTTGCGTGTGAAATGTCAGTATTTTAAGATGACCTATCGTCTCTAAGTAACAGGCCTGTTACTACTACAAAGAAAGACAGGTTTTGTTAACAGGCATGTTTGAAGAGCAGCCTGCGTAGTCCAAAATGCATGTCATTTGGCTCAAATGATCAGAATTATGTAAATAATGAGCTTGTTACAGGCGTGTGAGCCTTTTCTGTGACTTCTGAGAGAAGAGAGAGTACAAACTTGCCAGCAGTGTTAGCTTTCCCATAGGTGTTTATGGTGGTTTATGTGAAAAGGCAATGCAACTGTCAAGCTTACTTTAAAAAAGTGCTGTATGTAACAAATACTCAGCTTTTCATGGAAGAACTGGGCTGTGGTATAAGGCACTTTCTGAAAACTGATTGAGGCGTTTTCCCCAGCCAACTCCACAAGGTTACTAGGTTAATGATTAGTTAAGGAGAATGTTTTTATATCAGCCAGTGCTGCTGGCAAGGAATACTGCTAAGGTGTATTAATAACTTTTTTTTTGTAGTCTGCCTTTTGCTATTTGATTCATGTTGACCCTCTCCCTTCTTATTCAGTCCTCCAGGGTGGGTTTTTTGGGGTTTGTTGGTTTTTGTTGTGTTCTGGTACATTGTTTTTTGTTTGTGTTTGATATGAGCAACTGGCAACACTACTGGTAGAATCAAATGCTGTGTCTTAGCAAAGTTTTTTTTATTCCCATGATCCCATTTTTTTTTTCCAAACACCTGATTATGGAGGATTTGGGACAAGCTCAAAAACAAGCGTCAGAAAAGACTGATGCTGTCCTCCAGTCAAAAGAGGATTACTTGTGATTTCATTAGTTGTAGTGCAGAGATTGAAAGCAACTTACAATCAAATGTAAGTTGTAGAGATCGAAATCTATCCGAACTGGTTTGGATGAGAAAGCAGTTGCCTAGACTGGAAGCTGACTGAGAAGCCCAAAACAAAGGCAGTTTCCTGAAGAAAAAGATGTTTAAGGAAGTGAATCTAGTGACAAGTGCTGTTTAATTTAACATATGTTAGGGCAGAGCCCTTACCTATCTAGTACATAGTGAGGAAATTCATAAGCTGCACTACAGGAGGAGTTTTCTGCAAGGTCATAAATGTAGTATCAAGGTACTATAGATGCTGTGGTAGGATTTCTCATAGGAAGGTGCAGACTTTCCCTCATACTGACCATGACTCGAAAGGTTAGCAAACAGGAACTTCAAGATCTAAATCTGACTTCTAACAAGTAAAATGCAGGTTCACACTGGCATTGGAGAAGGGGCAATTGGTGCAGTTTTGGGTTCTGTGTACAAAAGCTTTGTATTGTGGAAGGTCTTCTCCATGAGATGTTTTAGGATGCCTTATCAGAAATGAAGGCAAACTGAAGGGAACTCGAACATAAGTGCGCTTCCCCAGTAAACTAATGCAATTTTTTTCAGTATTTTCCCATTAAAGGGTTTAGCTAAACTGTTTCGGCAACTGTTATCTTTAGTACTCCAGCTTGGACATCTGTAGTTGAGTGGTTTGCTTCAGTGAACTAGGGGACTTACTAAATTTTACTCATTTACTCAGTATTAACTTTGACTATGAAAGTGATGCTGTATCTGGTAATTCTGTCTGCTTTTAGAACTTGTCTAGCCTTAGCTTTCAAGACTAAGGCTGAAAGGCTGGGAGTTGCCACTGCTCTAGTCTGAAACAGCAGATGAATTTAACAGTAACTGTGACTTAATGCAAGCATTGGCTTTGCGTTGAAGCTGCAGTGCACAGGTGTATTAAATGCAGAGGTTAAGTCATCCGGGATTTTTGTCTGTCCTCTGAAAGGGGCACTGTTGGTAATGCAAACTTATGGCTGACTAATTGCAAGTGATCTGTTAAATGTAGCTTCAAAGCTCATAGGTTAAAATCAGGTCTTGAATTTCTGCTGAGAACTAAATTATTTCAATCTGGTTTTAGGTGTCTTTGTGTCCAGTGTTGTTCTGGTCTTACAACAGCGAGCACTTTTCAAGTTTTATATGATCGCCTCGGCGTTTCTGCTGGCTGTGACCTCGGTGTTGGTGAATTACTATGCTTCTTTGCACATAAACTTCTACAGTGCCTACTACACAGCCGCATTCGGAATTCAGATCTTCCCTCATAAAGGACCTTCGCTCTGGATGGCACTGTCCATCCTTCAGCTTACCTTTGGAATCGGATACGTTACATTGCTAAACGTGCAGTCCATTTACTCTCAACTCATCATCCTGGATATCCTGATACCTGTAATTGGCTTGGTTGTTGAATTACCTTTAAATGTCCGACAGACACTAGTTTTTATTTCAGGCCTAGTTCTGACACTAAATACCACAGCCATTTTAGTTATGAAAATTAAATGGTTCTATTATTCGGTACGGTACGTTTATCTGCTGGTAAGGCACATGTATCGCATTTATGGATTACAGCTGTTGATGGAAGATACTTGGAAAAGGATTCGGTTTCCAGCGGTACTGCGTGTCTTCTGGCTGACGAGACTTACAGCACAAGCTGTGGTATTAACATATGTTGTAAAGATGGCTGAAACCAATACAGAAGAAAAATTCTTCTTGATATCGTGGGATAACTGTTGGGAACTGATTTGCAGTCTGATCATAAGTGGGTGTGACTCAACTCTAACTGTGTTAGGCATGAGTGCCGTCATTTCCTCAATAGCGCATTATTTGGGACTTGGTATCTTGGCCTTCATTGGATCAACGGATGAGGATGACAAAAGGCTTGGTTTTGTAGCGCCCGTCTTGTTTTTCATTTTGGCTTTGCAGACGGGTTTAAGTGGACTGAAACCAGAAGAACGATTAGTTCGCCTCAGTCGAAACATGTGCCTTTTGTTAACTGCAGTCCTGCATTTTATCCATGGAATGACAGACCCCGTGCTGATGTCTCTCAGTGCCTCCCATGTGTCATCGTTTCGCAGACACTTCCCCGTACTGTTTGTTTCCACTTGCCTTTTCATCCTTCCAGTTCTGCTCAGTTACATCCTCTGGCACCACTATGCACTAAATACGTGGCTTTTTGCAGTTACAGCATTCTGTGTAGAGCTTTGCCTAAAAGTAATAGTTTCTATCACTGTTTATCTATTGTTTATGATTGATGGCTACTATAATGTGCTATGGGAAAAACTTGATGATTATGTCTATTATGTTCGTTCAACTGGCAATATTATTGAGTTTATATTTGGAGTAATCATGTTTGGAAACGGAGCTTACACAATGGTTTTTGAATCGGGAAGCAAGATTCGTGCTTGCATGATGTGTCTGCACGCGTACTTCAACATCTACTTGCAGGCAAAGAATGGCTGGAAGACTTTTATAAACCGCCGAACTGCTGTTAAGAAAATAAACTCACTTCCAGAGGTAAAAGGAAGTCGGTTACATGAAATTGATGATGTCTGTGCAATCTGCTACCATGAGTTCACCACCTCTGCTCGCATTACTCCATGCAACCATTACTTTCATGCACTTTGTCTTCGGAAGTGGCTGTACATTCAGGACACTTGCCCAATGTGCCATCAGAAAGTATATATTGAGGACAAGGAAAATGCCAATATCTCTAACAACAATGGGTTTGTGGCACCAAATGAAGATCCTGTACAGGTTGCTGAAGAAGCTGCTGATGCTGAAAATGAATTAAATGAAGATAATGACAGTTCCGAGAGTGATGAGGAAGACGATGACTGTGTGGCACAGCACTTGAATGAGACTCTTAATGTTGGCTCTAACTCTCTTGGTGATTAAGATGTCCTTTACTAAGCCGTGAGGTATTTGTTTAAGGTTGACTTTGACAGTATCACTTTGTAGTTATTGTACTTAAGCACAACAGCAGTATCTCAATGTTGAGTCTGTGAATGGTGGTTGTTTACTGTGGTGTGTGCTACTGTAAATATACCTCTAATTTTTGCTGGTCTCTTTCATGACCACCTTAAAATTATGTACATTGTTGTACATGGAATAAAATGTTTTCACATGTTTTTAAGATGGTTGGAAAAATACTCTTTAATTGATGTAGTGATAATGCTGTGCCAAAGACTGTATACCAGTAATCCCTGATCAATGAGTTCTGGATGCAAATGAAAAATACTGGTGAAAAGAGACTGTTTAGCAGGTCAAATCAGAAATGAAAAGCCTGAACCAAAGCAGCTTTGCTTACAAATTCAGTATTAGCAGAGCTTTATTGCTAAAAACTAGTGAGTTGTTTCAAAAAAGTAAAATAAAAATTTAGGTTGGTAGACAATGTTACAGCATTTGCATATGTGGAACAAAAGATGAAACTGCTAAGCTTTCTGGTAAAGTAGTAAAGCATGCTGTTGATGTGTTAAACACTTCTGAATTATCAGTAGTAGCTTAAAGTGCTCTACATGTGAACGCAGCAGCCTAGTATTCATCTTGTAATGCATACAGGTAGTAACAAGAGTTGCTAGCTTGGGCTATCCTTGAAATAGATCCTGAATCTTGATAAAGGGAAACAGGGCTGAGAAACTGCACAACTGCAGACCACCTTTTCAAAAGCAGCTTTAATCTTGTACCGTAAAAAAAAAACCAAACAACTACATATTGGCTTCCATTGATTAGAACTTGCAGAGATTATAATTTTTATGTTTTTGCAATACGTTTACTAATGTTATGCTGAATAAATGTAAGAAAAGCAACTTTATATATTTGGAAAGAAGACTTTAATGGTGTTGTTATATAGAGTATTGGCCAACTCAAGCGGGTCATCTTCTCTTACTGCTGCCATTATTTCCAGTATTTGACTAAAAAAGAAAGATTAATATTAGACTCTGAAACTCAGGACTGAATGTACTTCAGACTGCTGCATATGTATGTACAAGTCACTGAGATTAACCTGGAATAAAAACCAATGCTGAGACAAACAGGGCAGGGTGCTCTCATACGCAAATAGCTTCACTTTCAAGTCACTGACTGCCATTCCCTTCCCACTGAACACTGGCTGCTCACTGGTACAGATTAATCTTTGGTCTTTTGACTCTTGTCTGGAGGTAATTAAACAGCTTTCTGTTTCAAAGAAAGTGTCATTTTGTGGGTGTCTTTATCAATGGTTTTCATTTTTTCAGATTGAAATTTGTTAGCTTTTCAAGGCTAAAGCTGCACTTTGAATAAACAGGCCTATGGCAAAGCTTAAAGTCCAGATGCAGCCTCATCAGAGTATAGCTGCCAAAGAAACTTATTCCTCTCTCTCTGGTTTCTGGATTAATTGTGGTTAATGCATTCAAATATTTATAGTAAATGAGCAATTTTAAAAGGCCCACAGCCTTGATACAAGCCAGGAAAAGGAGGCAAAAGAGAAGGGATGAATAGAGAAGGGATGAATATTAACACTAAGCAACAGAAAACCAAGCCACAGTTTTTTTCTCTGTATTTTCTTGATTTTGTATCAATCATTCTGAGAAAAAAAAAACTTCATGGTGAAGAGTAAGAACCTCAAGCTTGGTGGTAGGCTTTGGTGGTTTTGTTTTTTTTGATCTTGCCTCTTAACTTACTTATACAATAGCTGAACTTCTCACAGTAGGAAAAATTGCTTTTAATAATTACTGTAATGTAAATATCTTCCTAGAAGCAGAATTAGGCCATTTCATGACTGTTCCTGTCAAGAAGCTAAAGAGCTTCTTGATTTAAGGGGATGTTCAAAATGAGATGGGGTGAGATGTGTATGTTACACAGAAGTAACATATACCAAAGAATTTTACCCTTGAAGAGTCTTGATAGGGCTTACATATCTATCCCCACTTGGATGCAACAAGATGCTGCATGTTACTGTAACACTGTGTAGATGAAATTGCTGAAGGAGGGAGAAAAAAGCCTCTTGTGGCTAAAATTTAGAAAAAAATAGCTTTCAAGGGGAATAGTGCAGTTCTGAAAATATAAATAAAGTATCTATCACTGAAAACTGAAAGGTGTGCAGCACCACCAAAAAAAGACAAGTGGAAAATTCTTCCTGCCAACTGAATTATATTAAACATATATACCCTAAATATTAAATATACTTTGTGGCCTGGGGCTAACTTTTCCCTCATACCAGATCTTGCTACTTGAGAAGTCACAAAATATCAATTCTGAGTTACCATGCTTCATTTTTCCCAAGGTTTAAGAGGTTCTCAGGTTACTAATCTACAATTAGTATGGGTTATAATTAATTAATGTTTTAAAGGGACAGTAATTTTCAAATAAGGTTGAACTAAACAAGATTTTGTTCTACAAAAAAAAAAAGCAAAAGCCAAAGTACAGCCTTTGTGTACCACTCTAGGACAGACTCCCTGCATTTCTAGTTCTGGAGTTTCTGAAACAATTGTCCTGTAAGCAACAACTTGGGCAGCAGACAAAGACATGGGGGTGGTGTTAACACACGCAGGCTTGCCAAAACATCCTCACTTGGCAACAGCAGAGGTCCTCCACTTGTGATCAGAGAACGGTTTTCACTTTTCTCCTACTCCAAAATCATGGACTGACCCCAGGAAGTCTTTAAAATACAGTAAGAACCCTTCTGTGCTCATGTGTGCACTTTGTGTGTAAAACACAAAATCAGTTTCAAAGAGTATTACAAATCGATGTAACAGCATAAAATATATCTTAACACTAGGAGATGTCACCATGTAAGCTTATGCTTTTAGGATGATCAGCAGCCTTTTCTAAGAGTTTCTCCAGGTCTCCCCAAAAAGCAGCAGAATATCCTTCAGTTCGCAAATAAACTCTTGTTTAGGCACCTTGCTGAATACCTAGGTTCTTTAGTACTGTCCTGAGGAGTATTTCAAAAGCCAGTTCCAAACAAGTAATTTGCACAGCTTTTCAGAGAAATACATATAGACTTGGCAGCAAAAAAAAAAGAAAAAAAATCCCACTTCTGATCCAGCAAATGGGCTTTGCACCTGCATAGGTACAGCTGTGAGCTTTATTTGCTGAAAATTCATTCATGTACCACACCACAAGGAAAAACCTTTCTGAATTCCTGAATTCTGTGAATTCCTTTTTCTTTTCAGAGAGTTGATAACGAGAAGATGACTGAGAAGACTGCCATAACTTACTGACCAGACATTTGGAACAGCTGTGAAAATTCAGCCATTTCATCTATCAGTGCTATTTAATGGAGATAACTAAACATTTTCACTAAACGATATGTTTCCTTGCTTTTCACACCCCTGTGAGGAAGCGCCTGAAAAGGTGGCAGAAAATGGTTTCTGCACTTTGTAACTCTGTCCATAAGCCCCTGGAGTCTTCTTTTGCTATTCTGTATGTTGACTGGTGTTATTCATATCTAAATTTCACTGGATCACAGTGTTCTGTGAAACGTGATTGATTTTTTTTTTTTTTAAGCACAACAGCAGGATGAAGTCATGACCCTAACCAAATTCATGTTATGGCAGTTCATGGCACAGGCACTACAGTGCCCTCCCCGTGGAGGACTGCACAGAGCTCCAGTGCTCTATCAGTTTTAAAAATAACTGGAATGACAACTGAGGGAAATTTATTCAAGTCAGGTTACTTTACACGGTTTAACCCCTCCTCCAAAGTGAAAAGCTAAAAACAGTACTGGTTTCACTTTCAGGTAGTTTTTTACATTCAGAATTGCTAAAGTGGGAAACTTAAGACTTTCTAAATTTCTCCACAGACTATAAAGCAATACCTTGCACAAGTTTCAATAAATTTAGAATTCATTTCTACTTACTACATTTCCAGTGAACAGAATTTTTCCATTTTTTTTCTCCCTGTGAAATTGAAAGTATTTTAAATAATACTACAGCAGTACACTTACATTATATGGCAGGGTTCATTTCTGTCCTTCAAGCAGTGCCCTATTTCCCATTTCTTTCTTGTAGGAAATGTAGTTTTAATGTATTTTGATCCAGCGTGAGTATTTTTCACTCCACACCAAGGCGCATCTAGTTTCATTTGGAAAAAAAAAAAAAAAGAATTGAAATATGCAATTGTTTGAGAATAATATGAGATAGTTTAATCAACTACTTCCACAGACAAGAGTTCTTGCACTCTCTTTCTAGCAGTGACTTCCAATTCAAAATGGAATTTGAGAGATTTGGGCAATTTAACATCTTCACAGTCTTTGGATCTTTATACTGTTACCTTCAAGATTTCAAATTTTTGAAGAATTAGCAATAATAGTACGTAACACTTATTTCCTCTGACTTGATAAACACAGCTAGATACCTTGCATGTTTTCCACAGAAACTTCCCATGTACTTTTAACAGGTCTGTACTTCATGTGCAAATAAATTTAAGGATTTAGGCAGTTTCTGGTTTACCTTTCTCAGATTCATAAATTAAATACCATATTTATAAGTGCTAGTTATTGATAATTGAAATGAACATAAAAAAAGAATGCACCCCTAGTCAGTCACTTAAAATCACTGCTCATTCTCCTCAGAGAGGAATTCAAGCATTCTTCCACCTTATCCCATTTAAAGAGCAGTTGTTTCCAAATGCCGATACTGCTGCCAGTGGCAAGATCATAGCCACTGCCCTGTGTGTGGCACTTCTCCAGCAAGCTACATTTTAAAATCAGGATTCCGGTACTTAGGTACATTTAAAAGGCTGAGCCTGTCAATCTGCCGTGTCAGGAACTGACAAGGCAGCTTATTCCTTCCAGCAAAAGGCTGAAAAGGCGTATTTCTGGAGCCTGTAAACTGCTGTCTTGAAGTGGAGAAACAGCCAGTCCTTTTTCTGCTCCCAGCTCCTTAGGTCTTGATTGTGCCTTATCGCTGCTATACAAGCTTATATCCCTGTCTAATAGTGTTCAAGTCACAAACTGACCAGGATATAAAATCTTACCAGTCTCTATCATTAATCGTTCACTAGGGATTGATTTCAGCGTTTCCAAGTTGGCTTCTGTTTTCAATGAACTAGAAAAATCAGAGTATGGTAAGGAAAAAAAAAAAGTGTATAGAAGTCATTACTTTGCCTGTTGAAATGTTTTACAGCAAAGGCAGCTTCCTAAATAATTTTATCAGTGAAGGTGCTGCCTGTAAATTCAAACTTTGCAGAAAATGGCAAATGTGGAGAGTTACTCAGCAAAGCCGCCTCACCCTAGTGAGGATGCAGAACCCCTGCCTGCACTGCCTTCAGCAACCCATGCAACTTAGAAAGTGGAGCTGGCTGGCTGTCGGCCAGATGACAGCCGAGAATTCTGACTGCGTAACCAGTAGATAAGGCTGCTCAGGTTACATTTGCATCCTGGATTTGACATAGCAGCTTAAAATTACACTATTTTTTTTGAACACTTCTCAGAAGGATTGTGTTTGACAAACTTCTTTATTTACAAACAAGGATTGACCTGAGGGTAGTAGAATGGATGTAAGACTAGATTAACTCGCTGAGCTGTGAGTTAAGAACTTTTTATGGCTAATAGACTAATGAGTGCAATTCTAAATCTGTCAGATGATTAAGAGTCTAGTGAGCTTTGAAAACTTGACCTCATTGTTTAAAAGAAAGCAATGAGTTCACTACAGCTGACATTTTAAAAATGGTTTTATTCCTTGTAAAGAACTTACCAGCCATTTATTCCAATATAAAGATCCAAATCTAACATAGCTGCTGCTTCTTCCTTTGTGCCATCAAAAGAATGTACCTAGAACATATATATAGATGCACACATTTATACAAATATATGTACTTCATTTAAAACTCCAATCATTTAAAAGTACACATTAGGGTTTTTTGTGTCATAAATACCTTTGATAACATGCATTACACATCAATACAAACATAAAGATGGGATATGGCTCAGTTGATTCTGAATTTGGGCTGAAGTCACTTGAATACTGTAATAAAAGTGGTTACCACATTTTGTGAGTGGTAAGTATGTGTAGAAAAGGCCTATCCAGTGATACCACTTTTGGCGCAGGAAACTTCCTGTAGCTGACAGCCAGGAGACCATGCACAGGAAGTAACCCTGTGCATGCTGAATTCTTACATTCTTTCCTCACTATTCCCTACAGGGTACTGTCAGGGACATCGTAAAAGCAGCGTTATGTTCTCCGCAGATTTTAGTCCACAGGAACTGGAGAGACAGTCTATTCAGTCATCCTAGGGACTAAAGAGGCAAGTGGCAGGTCACAAGGTGCAAACAGTGTAATGCATCTGGGAACTGCAGCTTCTCAGCCTGAGTAGAGTAAGGAAGTCTCCTTACTTCCTTAGGAGAGTCTAAGGAGAAGTCTCCTTAGAAGACTTCCTTAGGAGAAGTCTGCTTCCCCACACCGCAAGGGGGGTGGTCAGCTGCAGGGGATGCCTGCTCATCATTTCTCCACTAGTTACTGGTTCTGCAGAAAAGAGGAAGGGAGGAAGGAGACTACAGTATTATGTGGGAGCACAACATGCAAAGTGCTGAGCTAGCGGAAGGTTTTTGCGGTCACAAAGGGGAAACCTGGGGACCAAGATATTGTTGTAGGAGGTGTGGTCTGATGTTAGTAGGATAGAATAATCCACATGCATTTATTACTTTTGGAAAACCCCTGACATAGTGGAGACCTGGAAGAGTGTTGCTGGACTTTCTTAATAATTTAATCCAAAGTTTTTCCTGTCGTGCTTTCGAATTAAAATACACGATCTGAATATCTAAAGACATAAAGCAATCAAAAGTTACATCTGTATCTAATTTTAAAACGACGTCTTACATCAGAAGCAAATGTTTGAGGTTACAGCTTCCACTGGGAACATGCATCTGAATTATCTGTGGTCTGAATGCACTGCAGTTACAGACACTGAAGAATTGGGAAAAGGCCAATGTCAATTATAAGGTGCTTAAACTGCCCGTCTGACAGGCCAAGAAAAACTGTTCATGTCAGCTGCAGAGCTTTTTCTCAGTCTATCTTCTTCCATTGCAAAAACCCTGTTGAATAAGCAACAAAAATAAAAATACTAGAAGGGACTGGAACACACTTATTAGTAATAACTTAAATGATGTAACAGGAAGCCTACCCAGATTTCATGACAGACAAGTAGTTGCATATTAAGCAACAATATTCACATACATGTAAAAATGAATGCTACACTGAAGTCTATACTTACCACCCCTCTCACAAATCTCTCTCGGTTTCTTCTCATTACATCTATGAAACAAAACAAATGAAAATGTAAGACAGCTTTATAATGGACAAAGGTGAAAACTACAGGTTTCCAGATTTTTCATATTCAGAATTTGTTCTGATTATGAAATTCTCAAACAAAACCCACCTAAAAATTCAGCGTGTGAGTTTCTGCAGTGGAGAAACATGGGCAGTTGTGTCTGTTCTGACAGGTCAAACTGTTTTTCAAAATACCTGTAAAATAAAAATGACCTTTAAATGGAAATTCAGTGTAAAAGCAAATAAAGACAGTAGAAGACTTCTTTTCCAGTGCTTGTATGCTTTTTTTCCTCCAGAACCAAAGACTGAATTGATGGATTTGCTATGCAAAAGCTCTTATTAAAAGGAACACTTTCCCATGGTATATTCACATAGCAGTGATCTATGCTGGAATACAGTTAAGAAGTGGCCAAGAGCATCAATACTGAAGAATGCACACCTATATATGCTAAGCACATACTCTTGTGTAGTGTGGGTGTTGGAGTTCGTTTCTATTTATTTTTTAAAAAAGAGGAACTGACTGTCCTTTCTACAAAGTTTTGAAATGTCAGGAACGGGAGAGTGTGGATCACACAGACACCACCATTTCAAGAAGCACTTGTAAATGCAGTGAGGGCAAGCGAGAGAACACTTTGCAGACATCTATAACCTCAGATGGCCAAAACTGCAACAGAGCTATCTGGCCTGTAAATAACAATCCAGGGTTCTTGTTTGCTCTTCCATGAAGGTCAGTCTTGCCTCTCTTTGGGTGGAACAAGCACGAATTATCAGGCATTTTAACTTCTGCCCCATTCTGCCTACTGTCTTCACTCTTTCAAAGTCCTCCACTGGTTTCCCTCCCCTCCTTTGCAGGCCTGCGTTCTTCCCTTTTCACTCATTTTATCCCTACCTTCTACTTCTAGTATTCCCTTTGAAGGAGCAGTAACAGCGAGGCAGCCATCCTACAAAGAGACACAAAAATGTAGGCAGAGGGAAGGTAACTAGGTAGCCGGTTTCCCCAGTGCAGTTTCAAAGGGAAACTAATTAGCACTGAACTAACCCATCACTTGTCATTTGCAGCTAGTTCTGATGCCAGAGCATTATCATTTACAATTTCTGTCTGCCACGCTACATGCAAATTGTCAACGCTCAGGAAACAAAGTAGAGGAACTTATGCATGGCAGAAGGCCAACAGTGCATAGGTGACTCAGTATCCATATGTAATTTGAAAAATGACATTATTTGGACAAGGCGGGAGAACAACATTGCCTGTCCCAACAATACTGTATGCACATATTGGATCTCTTTAGGTGTGGCTGTTAAAAGCAGCCCAGGGCATTGGAGCATTCCCATCATCAGCTATCAGAAACATTTCAAAGGCAAACTCAAATGTCCACATACTGCTGTGTGCGATTCTCATATCAATCAGGACAAAGTGGCAGCAAACCATTAATTTGATTTACATTTTCCTAAAAAAAAAAAAAAAAAAACCTCAACAAACAAAAAAGGCAATGCAAGTGGTCCTTTTGTTTTGTGCAATTTTCACTATTTTCTGTATATTACAAGTTGGCATTTCTCTGATAAAAATTACATTCCCTGTTTATCAGTGTAGATCTTTGAGATAAAACAGGTGGAACAGAAATCAGCTGTAATGTTGAAAACTGACATGAAAATTCAGGAGAATTAAGTACAACTACTTTGAATCTCCTTTGTAGTCTAGATACTGTGCTTAGTTTAGATTTTTTGACAAAATAAACGTTTAATTGCACCTCATGATTGCTCTTGCGGTTAAATAGCTACAATTGCTTCATACAGAAATGAGGTTTTAGAGACCGAGTTGCAAATAAGTAACCTACTGGCCAATTTTAATCTAATTTTGAGAAGTGTAGTGGTCTTGACACTACAAAAAGTTTAGTGCCCTTACAAATGGAAGGACAACTTGAACTTCTTCCATTCCTAGCAACAATGAAGCCCAACACATGCTGCTACTTCACTGTCAAAGAGAAAGGGGAGGTGGATGGGGAATTAGGGTTAGGGTTAGGGTTAGGGTTAGGGTTGGGGGGAGGGTGGGGGGGGGGGGGGGGGGGGGGGGGGGACAAAAAACAAACAAAAACAGAAAAAGAAACCCCAGAAAAGCATGAAGACACCAGACATACAGTGATCAGAATGGCAACAAAAGCAGCCAGGAAGAAACCAAACCTTACTAGTTCCATGGCTTAAGGAACAACCCTTTTCTTTTAGGTGAGTAGACTGTCATTCAATATATGCTCTTTCTGTATTGCTTTTCAATCAGGAAGTTTTAAAGTATTTCCACGTTTGTTTGCAGGTTTTGTTTTCACCATAACTTCAAATGCTGTGGTATTTTCAGATTTGGGATCAAGGCACTAAAGGAGCTGAAGCAAACTGTCCTTGCTGAGGTAGAAGATCTCCAGACAAACAATTCTGTATTCATACATGAGTAACTGTGCATGTGACTTTGTTTACCCCCTCCAATTTGCTTAAGAAAACTGTTTCCCATGTTGCTGAGCCTCACAAACCCCTCCCAGCAGTAGAGTGGAAGTGAAACTTCTATATACTTATCAGTCCATTTATAATGTGACCTTCACCATAATATAAAGGCACTACCTTCATCTAACTACCATTCAAATCACCTTTTTCTGTGGGAAAAATTATGAGAATGGAGAAAAATTCTGACAAAAAAAGTTCTTAGGTCTGCTTCAACAAAGGAATTTAATCTTTATTAGCTTCTCAATCCAAGAAACAGGATAAAAATAACGTTCATTTTTTACAGGTGCAAGTTACCCAGAAGAAAACATAGCATAACTAACTAGCAATCAATGATTAAACATTAAACAAAACAGAAGTCATGCTCAGATCCTACCTACCGGGAAACTGCCATACTTCTCTTCTACAGGGTAACTCTGCACCTGTGTGCTAGCTGTCCTAGCCACAGCTACAACACCTGAGCTGTGGATCAGCTGAAAACCAGTGAACTGCCTCCATGCGTTTCACACTTCGCTTTCCTTTTTTTAGTTCATTATTAAGCATACACTGAATTAATTTGAAGAACTCGCCACCCAGTCTGCTAAAGGTCACGAAAGCCAGACTGTCTCCAACTCCGTAGCATTCAATTAGCAGAAACAAAAACAACCCCAAACCTTGACCATGTTTCACAAACATGTGAAGGATGAAGAGCAGGGAAAGCTGTCCACTTAGAAAATACAGCATTTACACACACAGTGTTTGCGGGCACCTGTCCTTGATGCTTACAGTATTTCTTCACTCCCTCCCATCTCTTGCCTTTTTTTTTTTTTAATCAATCACCTCCTTCCAACTGCAATTTCCAGCAAGGGCTCTCAACAGATCTCTTAGAAACTAGATTTAGGTATTTCATATGATTTACTGAAATAGCTTAGATAATGACAGAAAGTTATCAACCTTAATTTAGAAAGGACTCACTGACCACTTTAAAAGTGAGTTATGTTCCACCCTGCCACTCCCTTTCCCACAACCCAATTTCAGTGCACCCAGTTAGAAGGTTTTCTACACAGGTCTTCAGCTGCTGTCCATCAGATAGAAAAAAAAAAAACCCTGATTTTCCCTCCCAATAATATCAAGGCAGTAAGGATCTTAAAATATGATACTCCACCCGTGGTTTATTTTGTCAAAGAAGAGAAACAGGTTACACTCCAAGGTGTGCTTTGCTGAACTTTGTGTACACTGAATTCTACCAGGAAAAAAAAATTCTGTCCACTTTGCTGAATATTTTACTGTATGACTGCAGCATTATAAAGAATTAAACTAACTTTTGCTAACATGTGGCAATTAGAAAAAAACACAACTAACCACTGCCCCCCAGTGACGAATTTACTCAGAACACTAATATGCAAACCCAATTCATTAACCACTCATCTTATTTGAATTTATCACTCATATCTTTCAGTCAGTTCCCTCTGTAGACAGAAGTTCTCACTACAAGAACACAAGCTGATTTGGGGGGCTGTGCTAGCTTCTTTCCATTCAGTATCTATGCTGCATATAATACTTCAAAACACAGACCTCTCCAGCTCCTCAGATCACCTTTTTCATCAGCTCTCAATTATCTGCTCCCAGATAACACCTCCCTTAAAAGCTCTTTTTTTTTTTTCACTGATGACTTACCCTTTTTGACAGTTCTGTTCCCTTCCCCATGCCTTTCACTCAACTTTTCTCTCACACGCTACAGTTTTGTTATTCTCACCATGAGTCTAGTTCTTGAGTATTAGCAAGAATGAATGTATGTCACACCCAGAAGCTCACAAATTCAGATCAATTTTACAGAAAAAGACATGCTAAGTCAACATCAGGCAGGTAGAAAATTTAGCACATAGCACTACTTGAATGTAGGCATCTTTCTTTAAAGTCCCATTTCTGCCAACCCCCCCCTAGCCTGAACACTGCAAACTGCAGGTCTACACCAGACAAAAATGTTACCTGGTAGAACACAAGATGGAAAACACTCCTGTAAATTGCTACAAGTCAACTTAGTCATAAAAAGTTTCTTACTTGAGTTGGATGTCCTTTGGGCAAAATTCTAATCTATCAAAATCTACAAATAGAAAGAACAAAAAACCCACTTAGTGTTTTAGGATTTTTTAGTATGTCTAGAAAAAAATATATTGGAAGTACTAAGATAACACTTACCTAAGCCACATTCTCCAACTGCTATTACCTTTGTCTTATTTTTTTCAATCAGATTTTTTAATTCAGATAAATACTGTTCAGGGCTACTCTGCTCAAACTCTCCACAACGGGTAGGATGACAGCCAACTGTACTGTAAAACATGTCTAAAGCAAGATAGTATTAGAAGGGTTTAAGAAAAAGGAAAAAAAATTAAGGGATAGATGGTATCTGTAGCTGGACTTTTTTTTAAATTGCTCATAATTTTATAAAACTCCATTTGAACAACTTTATCTTGGTGATACTTTTATTACACTGACATTTTCTGCTTTAAAAGTGTTAGGCAGTATCTCCAGGGTGTGTGTGTGTTTCTTTTTAGTACACATAGAATCACAGAATCATTTAGGTTGGAAAAGATCTTTAGAACCATTGAGTCCAGCCATAAACCTAGCCCTGAGTCCACCACATTGTTTAGTATACTCCAAAACTGCAACTCAAAGCTGAATTCTTCTGCTGAAGTGGCCCTCAACACATCATACAATTGTTGAGGTTGGAAGAGACCTCCTGAGCTGACCTAGAAATACATCTTGTTCAAAATGCATCAGTTTATCCTTAGCTGTAAGATTTGCAGACAGCATGTGATTTCCCACACGTGCCTCTACATTAGCTGTTACAGAATTTCGGAAGCACCACCTAGCCCGATTTACCTAAGTATCTAATCTAGATTACCTTAGTGCCAAAACTAACATTTCTGTTAAGTGCCTTTATGGGGAATGTAAGAGCATGGGGCGAGGGAAAGACTATGTAAGGTCCTGAGCAACTTGACCCAGTATTAAAGCTAGTCCTGCTTTGATTGAGTGGATTGGGTTGGACCAGATTACCTCCTCAAATTTATTCCAACACAAACTATTTGATGGTTGTTTGTAAATAGTACTTTAACATGTGTTTTAGTTCAAATACATATTTAAGTAATTAGCGGAATGATATTTGCCTAAGGAAAAAAGGAGAGACATATTCCTTTCCATAGGGGAAGGAAAGCTAGGAGAACCATAAAGAGAAATATATCTCTCTTGTTCAAGCTGGTCATGATAGATTGTAAGTAAAAAAAACCAAAAAAACACCCACCAAAAAAAACAACACTATATAAGCATTCCAGCCTGTTTCTAGAAGACAGCCTTGTAACAAATTTTTATTCCAGAAATTTGCTGTAGTTTCTATTGTTATCTAGAAATAGAAGTTACAGGAAAGACTGATTCCTTCCAACACCCAGGGATCTAAAGACCAACATACAGAAACTCATACACAATGCATTCATCCCATTATGAAGTATAACTTCTCATTTTAATCTGAAATTCTGTAAACACCTCCAGGGGAAGGTCCTTTTGAACTCTTAATTTTGAGAGTGGAGATGGTTATGTCTTTAACTGACAACATAAGTTTAAAGTGAAAATACCATTTGTCTGTGCCAGCTGCAATGCATCTTTACTATCTTGTAGACTTCCACCTGTAATCAGAAACTTAAAAGAAGAGAAGTACTGTCAACAAGTATGTTTGTCTTTGAACATCAAGCAGAATGTTTAAGAAAACACTCAGATGTAAGTAAGAATCTAGACAGAGAACGGCAGAGGACAATTACTAATGTATATATAAAAAAATTCCATAAATCAGGAATAAACCTCAATGGTCCTCAGCATCTAGTAAATACACTAGGTATCAAAACTTGATTTTTTTTTCTTTATCAAGTATCTTCTATGCTAAGTATTTAAACGACTAAATGAGTAAAATACTTCTATTTGCAGCAATATTAACTTCATTAGACAACGACTCAAGAAACTTTATTTGCATTCAAGAAACGATATTCAGAAACATTCTCCCTGTCTTACAGGTGGAGAAACAAAAAACTGCCAAACGCCCAAAACGAGACATGAGTACAAGTCAGTAGAAAAAACAAAGGAGTCTGTATCAGAGTTGGGATTACAAATTTAAGAATTTCTGTCTCCGATCTTTATTTTTACCTTAAGATCAAAGGTAATCACACCAGAACTGTTGCTTACACTGTTTTTTGAACCACCATTTGTAGGATCTTGCATCCTAGGTTGCATGACTACACTGCTCTTACCCCTACACATACGCTATATACCAGATTTGGTCAGCACAAAGTCAGACATTTCTGCAGTATGCTCCATTATAGATGGACACATCCCAACAGTATCACCAGAAAAGTAAGTTAAGCTGAAACTGGCTCACTGTACCTACAGCAGAGGGCAAAACTTCACAAAACACTATGGTAAACCAGAAGCTATATGGAAAAATAGAAGTATTTTGAAATAAACAGATTAAGCTTCTAGACAAGTAGAAACAACCTGGGATGGAACAGACTTCTGACACTGTACTGGCTGGTAGCAAGACTGAAAACAGAGCTCAGGACACAGAACTCCTGAATTCCATTGCTGAATCCACTGTGCATCTTGAAAAAGTTATGCAGCTAATCTATTTTTGATGATAAAACAGGAAAATTACTACTTACTTTCAGAGGGTGGTATAAAGATTAAATAGCACTTATACAGCACAGTGACTATGATTCTGTGTTTGCTGCAGTATGGTAACTTCCCCATCACTAGAGGTTTCTTTTGTCTCCCAGTTTATTTCCCACTCTTTTCAGATGACAGCCTTTCAGCAAACTTTTGAGATGCCTGTTCCTCTTCTAGAGGAGGGTTTCTTTCTTTGTTTCTAATCTACCACCCTTTTTAGTGCAGTAGAACAGTTTGTGACAGCATGCCTTGTATTCTACTTCAGTTAATATTTTTGTCTTTACAATTTATTTACTTTAGAGAGAGTGAAATAGGCAGGCTGGACTATTGTAGCTAAAGGAATGCGGTGCACTGCTAAAGACGCCAATTTCAAGCCAAGAGTTATAAACCCACTCAAAATGATGCTGTTTTAATACACATAAGCCAGTATTTAATAGCAGATATTCAGATGTCTCAACTGTATGAATTTATGGGCACTCCCAGCTCTTCTGTGGTTACCAATTTCCCTTACATATAGAAATACCTGAAGGATCTCAAACTCCTCAATCAGAAGAGTTTTTGAGCTTTGGTCTGTAGCAGTAACTGTTGAGTAAGACAGTCACACAGGATACAAGAAGAAAGGAATGGTTGCCTATAATACAGCTAACATGGAAAATCACGTACTAGTTGATTGCAGGAGGTCAGAGAACATCCTTCTGTTGAAATGGTACAAAAGACATTCTACATACACATCACATATGATGCCACTGAATTTAAATAATCAGCATCTAATGATGCGTGCAAATGAAAGACAATGCTCTGCAGAGAACACTTTTGCTTTACGCTAGCGAAGAAAGTTACTGCATTTTCCACTACAAGTTCCAGAAACATTTGTTTTAATAGAGGTGGACTAAAAACCCAAAGTATTAGAAAGCAGTTTAAAATATTAAAGAAATTTTATTATAAAGAAATTACCTTTTTAACACCAACTTTCACTGCTCTCTCTACCACATCCAAAAAGTCATCTGTGAAAATTCATAAAAACGTCAAAAATTGAACTTAAGGTTTTACAGCATAATTTAACTACTTTTCAACTCTAGGAAAAAAAAAAATTCATGCAGTCAGAATGCCTATCACGAACCACACTTGATTAATCTTTAGAAGACAACAAAATGCAATTACTGAAGATTCAACTTAAATCCAGGAAGTCAACCGAAGTTTTTCCGCATACTTTAGAAGACTCTCTGTTTTTACATCTATGTCTAAAGGCCACGAGAAAAAAAAAAAAAAAAATCAGTTACAATCAGTGACTATGTTCAGCAATGCGATACTTCGATAGTTTATTGTTCATAATTCTCAGATCAGTTTTTCCATGCAATCTTAATATAAACAGATCAGCAATTGTTCATTTTGCTCTAGAAGCAGTTACCTGTATGACAGCTTAAGAGGAATTAAGAGAATGTAATTTGCTTCAAACATCTAACTTATTTTGCCACGTTTTCTTCTTCAAGCCCTAATAAATATCAAGCACATGGTTTCTGAGGAGAAAAAAGAAACTCTAACCTCACTTTCTGACGTGTAAGAGGTTTCCATTTTAACCAGAGGGATCCTGTCTTTCAGCAGATACAAAGAAACATTTACCTTGATGTTTTTGTGTTCCCCTGTAGATTCCTCTGAACATAGGATCTGTCAAGTTAATACCAATATCTATAAAAAAAACAAATATAGAAATTAGATGTTATAGTTGCTCTACATCTCATTCTGAGCATTAGCTAACTAGGAAAGACAATGGGAAGCGTATCTTAGTAGTCCCTGACTACTACACTGGCAGGCCATATAAACCTTAAACATAAGTTTACTTGCACAAGTGGAGAGTTTACTCCTTACTAGAAGGGACAGAAAAATAACATTCTGGCCTTCTGTGCAACTCCAGGCTTACTCTATGAGTGTACAAGACACACCCTCATAATCACCAAAGCTAATACCCATGTAGTGTTTATTGCAATTAATTCTGCTTTTCATATGAAAACACAAATTTAGCTCTGCCGCCAAGCAGTAAACAGGGATGGAAACATGCAGCAGCTCACACACAACCTTTACACGGGTGGAAGCAGCAGCAGGCTGCCTCGCAAAAGCTGCCTGCCTTCCCTCCGAGTGCTCGCGACCACCCAGCCTGGCCAGCAGCAGGAAGAAGGAAGGCC